AGTGGGAAACGGGGTTGGACCATCTGGTACAGTACAGGCGTGGACCATCGTGGTACAGTACAGGTGTGGACCATCGTGGTGCAGGAGTTCAGGTGTGTAGGGCTGCAGGTGTGAGAATGCAGCAAGGCACACACAACCTCTGCTTGACAATAACATCCTCATCCACATGTATTACGACTTAAGAATCACAGTGCCTCATCTGGAGGGACTGATTACCTTAGTTTTGATTAATCTGAAGAATTGACAGTAAGATTAAGTAAGCAAATAAATTTATTTAAGGACAATTACACATAAGTACAATTTCACAAATTTTAGGTGATTATGACAATAACAATTAATAGAACTGCATGAAAATAAGGTATAATAAAAGGAGGTACAATAGGAATAAAGTCAACTGAATAATTTACATCAACTTTAAATAGAGAAAGTCATGTTAAGTCATGTTAAGTCATGTTAACTATACAAGATGAAGCTCGTGTTTACTGGAATGAGATGAAGTGCAGCAGCGGAGGTCACGTCACTGATGGGCGAGGCCCATTAGTGGAAGTAGGTTATGCACAAGAATGGGGCCAGAGCTTAGCAAATAGGTCGTAGGACATATCCTCTGAACCAAGATTCCATGGTGTTGCTGTGTCAAGGAAGTATCATTACAATAATCGTCTCCAATACCGACATGATGACCAATTAAACAGACGTACAACACCTGGGTATCTTTATCTCCAACAAGGTTACCCAGGGTTGCATGTGTCTTATTTCTCATCTTAAGCCATTATTGTAATGGTATATTGTTGCGAATAAGAAATTTTTTAAAGAACTTCAGAATGTGGCCTGTTACCATTTATTTCTTATGCAACAAGATTTTTGGATCCGAGTTATAGGTATTTTAGAGTCTAGGGGAAATAATTTCAACTGGGAAACTCCATAGAATAGTATTCAAATTTATTAGAGTATTTAAATACAATACTTTATCTTCTCTCTTAATACTTTGTACAATAAATTTACCATATACATTTAGTTCAAAATCATGGAAATGTCACATTAATAAGGAAGTTTAATTATTCTTCCTGTATCTAAGTCCTCATTAATATTTACGTCTTTTTCTTAACAAGACTGTCAACTCAAAATACAAAAGGTACAAGATTTAACAAGACCTTTGAATCTGGCCGTAAAGTATCTATGGATTACTGAACTGACCAAGAACATAAATATCAAAAGAATCTTTCAAAGTAATGAGGATCAAAGTGAGTCAGCTCTTGAGTCCAATTCTCAAAACCATTCAACTGTACACCGTAAGAGCCAATATACGATCAGTTGTCAGGGCTAGAGCAGGGAGCAGACTGACTACTTGCCAGTCTGTTGACGCGTCGTCAGGTTGGATCAGCTGAGCCACGTCAGCCAGCCGGACATAATTCCGAGGCGTGATAAGGCATCACGAAACATCTTAGAGGTAAAGTTTGAACCTTGATCGGATTGAATTATTCGGGGAATCCCCACCTGTGAGAAAAAATTTTGCAAAGCTCGAACAATGATGCGAGAATTAATTTTTCTCAAAGGGATAGCCTCTGGATATCGAGTAACAACATCCATAATTGTAAACAGATATTGATTCCCTTGTTTAGTCCTGGGTAACGGACCAACACAATCTATTATCAGGCGTGAGAAGGGCTCACCACTGACGGGAATCGGAAGGAGGGGAGCTGGTGGAGGTGTGTGCGAAGGTTTGCCGGTCACTTGGCAGACTTGACAACCTTTTAGATAGCTTTCCACAGTCTCCTTCATTCTGGGCCAATGAAAATGCTTGGCTATTTTGCCCAGCGTTTTCTTTACTCCCAAATGTCCTTCCATGGGACTATGGTGGGCGAAACTAATAGCCAATTCTCTAAAGGTGCTAGGTAGCACTACTAGGTGTTTGCTGGTAGCCAGATGATCGTCGGAAGACAAAAGACTTTTCCTTTCTCATTAATATACCATTAGCAAGATAGTAACAATTGTCCAGATCTTGGGCGTCGTCTTCTGTAATAGCTATCTCTTGTAATTTCTCTAGGGATGGATCAAGGAACTGATCCCTTGCATGTGTCTTATTTCTCATCTTAAGCCATTATTGTAATGGTATATTATGACTCTCGACTGTGTATGTTATTATGATGCTTCCATAGTGTCGCACTAATGACGTCTCCTCACCTCCCTACTGTCTTCCTTCCCTCACTCCATCTCTTCCCCGCTACTTACCTTCACTTCCCTCCTTCTCTCCCTCATTCCTACCCTCCCTCATCTTTCTCCGGCAGGTGCAAGGAGAGACCGAGATGTCTGGTTGTGAGGGTGAGAGCGAGCATGATGACGACCACCTGATCGTCTACCTGCCCAGGTGAGCAGCTCAGGTGCAAGTCATAAGAGTATATTCTCTTAGTTTTATATCTCTATATATAATTATTATTCTCTGTCCATGCACTGGTCGCCGTTGCCCAGCGGTGAGAGTAGCCACTCTCATTGCTGAGGTCCAGGTAATAAACCCTGGAGATTAACATCTGATCAGTCCAGTAGTTGCATATGATCAGCGTCCCGTGTCAGGTTACTCTTTTCTAATAAAAAAATTATCTCTCTCTCTCTCTCTCTCTCTCTCTCTCTCTCTCTCTCTCTCTCTCTCTCTCTCTCTCTCTCTCTCTCTCTCTCTCTCTCTGTCTCCTCTCTCTCTCTTTATCAGGAGTGAGGGTGTGGTACAGAGGGAGGCTGGCTGGCTGGCTGGAGCACTCAGAGATGCTGGAGCTAGCATCATCATTCCTCAGCACCCCGCTATCAACGGTCAGTTCCCATCCTCCAGTACACCACTTTCATCACAGTTTATGCTACACCTTGTCTCTTCACGTGTAAATTAATGTATTTCTTAGAAGCTTCGTGCATAACTCCATAGTAATACTGACAACTGTGAAGTAGCTCCTGGCTCAACCAATGAGGGACCGGGGCTCGGGCCCTGGGAGTGATAACCCTGGGCATGTTTCCTGACACCTGTTGCCCCTGTTCACCTAGCACTAAGTACCTAGGTGTTAGCCGATTGTTGTGGGTTACATCCAAGGAATGAGGATTAATGGACCCAAATTCGCAGTCTGGTGACAGTGTCTTTGACTATCCTGTGTTACGAACTCTCCGGGTTAACAATGAGAATAAAATCTTCAAATAATGTCTTTTAAATCCATGTTATTCATAGCCAACTTCCCAGAGACAGAGGGAGGCCACCTAAGAGGAAGAGATTTTTCGAATTCATAATCCCAAAGAGTTAATAACGCAAAAAGACAGTTATTATTAGCATGTTCACTGAGATACAGTAAGGGTCATAAAGCTCCTTGGTAATGGAAGGAGTGGAAAAGAGGGAGGTTAAGATAACCCAAGAAAGCCAAACAGAGTTTATTTCCATCTGGAGAGTTTAGAGTAGGTCCTTCCCTAGTACGCTACACTACTCACACTCTCACAACTCTTGAGAGTTTATTGCTAGATAAACAGGAGCAGCAGGTTTAAAGGAGACTTCTCATACATCCCACCATGAGCAGGACCGAACACGGAGTCTTCGGGTTGTAAGCCAAGTGCGGCACCACTGAGCTACGAGGCAGAATACAAGGGGGTACCTCCACAACACCACTTATAGGTCAGGTCATTAAAGCCTTCCCAGAGACGGTTATACTGAACTATAACAAAACATCACTACTACTGGCACACCTGACCTCCATAAATCATTGTAATAAACATTAATTAGTATATTGCACATAAATAACCTAGTTTTCTTAATACTAGTAGTATTTATTATATAATTCTCTTTAATGTATGAACGTATGTGATTTAGAAAAGAAAGTATTATTAATTTAAGAATAAAATTAAAATTAAATTTAAATTTTTCAATTAGATACCAAGTTTCACAGATATTGTTTGATAGAATATTATGCAATGTATTAAATTATTAAAAAAATAATAATTTTCTATATTTTTTTTTTTGTCATTAAAACTATTAAAATTACCACAATTTCCTGTAAAATTAATTTTATACATTTAAAAGTTTAAAAAAATGGAATTTTGGCAATAACGAGGCTGGAAGAAATTACAAGTAATCCAAACTATGGGCAGGAAATTTTAAAGGCCATTTCAATGCACTTAATAATGATCTTTGACGGACACGAACGTCAACGAAAGTTTTCTCTCTAATATGTGTTGCTTGTGTAATTTTCATTTAGATTATTATTTTCATGTTAAGCGCTAAATCCGTGTGGGCGATTGAGCGCAGGACGAAAGTTGTGGAGATTTGATCCTCTGTCTGCTGAGCGTTATGTAGACACACTTCTTGTTTGTACTCACCTCAAGTATTTTAAAGACAAATTCGAATGACAGTTTGACGCTGCGTCTAATTTTACATTGCTCGCCGTTTTAATAATGAAATGACGTTGTTGTTGTGCGCCACACGACAGCTCTGGTAGGATGGTCACAGGCGGTGCGCGAGGCACTGAAGGATGTGGGAGTCCAGTCGTTGTCGCAGCTGGCTGAGGAACTACGCCGGAAGACCCAACTGAGGAGGCAGCACCACGTACAGCTGGATTCCAGGGTCTTCCACGTGCTGGACGACGAGTCCAGCGTGGGCAGTAAGGGACTCCACCTCGACGTGAGGGAGGGGAAGTATCAGCTGAGGGCGGCACGACACGTCCCCTGCCTCCTCCTAGCCGCGCCCACCAGCCCACACGCCCGCGCTCTCCTGCTGGCTCTCTCTGACTACCTGACGCAGCAGCACTTGCCCGGGCGAGGCTGCCTTCACTGCCCTGCTCTGGGTGGGTACTCTGCTTCCTCACTCACCCTCTTATTAATTTTAATATTAATAATTGTTATTAATTCTTATTCGTTTTTATTGATATTTATTTATTACTATTATTATGGTTATTACTTATTATCTCCCGATTACCAGGCGTTGTGTTGACTCGTGGGTTTAACGCTTCCTAATAATAGCATGTTATGAATTAAATCAGTGAAGTGAATATAATATGAGTAATCAGAGTAATGAATATAATCAGAGTAATCAATATAATGAATGTAATCATAGTAAACAATGTAATGAATATAATCAACGTAATGAATGTAATCAATGTAAAGACTACAATCAGTGTTATGTATATAAGCAGTCTAACCACAACACTGTCCTTAACTGCGAGGAAAATGATAGGACGGATAATGAGAACCTTCAAAACAAAAGGCCAGGCCAATGATGATCCTCTAAGTCATTGGTCCTCAAGGCTAGAATACTGCTGTATACTAACGGCTCCTCTCAAGGCAGGAGAAACTGCAGACCTGGAGAATGCACAGAGGACCTCACTACACATATAACTTTAGTGAAGCACCTCAGTTACTGGGAACGTTTGAAGGCTATATACCTGTACTCCTTGGGGAGCAGGCGAGAAATATACATCATACATCTGCAAAATCCTAGAGGGACTGGTCCCAAATCTGCACACAGAAATCATTCCCTGTAATAGCAAATGATTCGGCAGACGGTGCAACATCCCCGTGAGTACACAGAGGAAACACAATAAGTGTCAGGGGCCCAAGACTTTTTAACAGTTTCCCACCGTACACAAGGGAAATTACCAATAAATCCATATCTGTCTCAAGGGGGACAGGACAGAAATTTGAGTCATTAACTGACCAGTTGGATTGCAATTGTATGTGGCTAGCAGTAACAGCATGGTTGATCAGAACCTGATCCACTGTGAGTCCTGGTCATGGACCGGGTAGCGGGGGCGTTGACCCGTAATCAATGTAAGGAATATAATCAATGTAATAAATGCAATTAATGTTCTGAAAATAATCAGCATAAATAATAATCAAAGAAATCTATGCAATGAATACAAAGAAAGTAATGAATGTAGTGAGTAATCAATGCAGTTATTATAATTAATGTAAATAATGTATTAATATACTTAATATAATCAATGTGATTAATACAAGCAATGTAATTAATATAATCAATATAAGGAACATAATTAATGTAATCAACGTAATCAGCGATTAACATAATGTAATCAATATAATCAATATAATCACTTGGGTGAAGGCACATGGTCTTATTTTGGAAGACGTCAAGAAAGGTGGATCTGTAGATCAAAACCTCTTCAAGGGGGGGCTCCTTGGCGTGGTGAAGAGGCTCTTGGTCTGAGGAATTAGACCTTTTGGTCTTCTTCCTCAGGCCGAGCCTAATTACCCCCCAATCCTGCCTACCCTATCCCATCCTCCCCGTCCTCCCTTTTTCCCTTTCCTCTTGCTCCTCCTCCCCATCCCTCCCCTATTCCCTTCCTCTTTTTGGGGCCTTTGGGATTCTTCCCACGGGCAATCTATTTGCAGGTAGGGGGCGGGGTCCCGGGGGGTCCACCCCATAGGGTGAGGTCCTTGCGGTGGTGCGTTTGCCAGGGAATCTGGATACCTGGGATGCCCGATCCCTCCTTTCCCTGGGGTTGATTTTGGGGTGCTTTCGGTGAAAAGGTTTTTGGGGAGGCACCTATCGGTTTCCAGGGTGGGGAAAAAGGGAGGTTGCTTTGTGGCAGGTTCCGGGGGCCCCTCTTTTTTGTCCACCGAGGTGGCTGGGTGAATGTGGGGTTGCTATCCTGATTGCTGATTTACGGGCAAAGGGTGGGGGATGGACGGATTCCAAGCCGTTCTGTACTACTGCAGTGCTAAGGTCTTTTTTGGGCACAGGGGGGGATTTAGGGCCCTTTTTTTGCCTCCTAGGAGATATTCCTCCATGTTTCCCCCTCCCCTTTTTTTCTTTCCTTCTTTCTTTTTTTTCTAAAAAACAAACAGAAAGAAGTGATCTAACCATGGAGTCCCCAATCCATGAACCCGCTCCCTCTGGGCCCCTTCTTGATACCGTACCCCATTTGGACACTTCTAATGCCCCTGTACCTCTTGCTGGTGCTGTTTCATCACCTACTTCAGGTACCGGGTTTCAACTGACTCCTTCGATATGTCTGACCTCTGCGCTTGTTTGACTATGCTTCCAGCTTCTTCCCTCTGCGGTGCAGCAATTTTCGAATCCCCAGCCCGTCCCACGTCGGACCAACTCCGGTCCCACTCCTAAACGCCCACGACAATTGCTTGATGATACTTCTTCGCTTCCTTCTCATTCTACTCAGAAAAGACAGGCACATCAAGCACTCCCTTTCCATGCTAAGTTTCGGAATGCAAAAGGGACTCAATTCTTTGCTTAGCGACCGACTTCCTCTACTGCCTATCTTTCTGACCATAGTATTGGCAAGGTGCTCCTACACCATGTAGGAGCGTGTACTGCTCTCAAGAATGGTACACGCATCATCACTGACCTTTGTCTTCTTTCAAATATCGATACTATTCCTGTCACTATCGAAAAACATCATTCCATTATCCAACAGAATTTCCAGACATGTGGCGATGACATTCTAGAACAGCTGGAACTCCAAGACCTCCCAATCCTCAATGTAGACACTTATGTCCTCCCTGCCCAGGAGCAGAGACGATACCCTTGCAATGTAGCTCGATTAACTTTTGACTGCCGTGTACTCCCATCCTCTGTTTATATAGCGGGACATCGTTTACAAGTTCGAAAGGTGATCCCTACAATGCAACAGTGTAGAAATTGCTGGCGTTTTGGTCCCCCCATGAAATATTGCAGATCTATAGCCGAATGCCCAGTCCATGGTGCCAATGACCATTCCAGTACGTCTTGTAGTCTACCTCCTCTTGCCCTAATTGTCATGAGGCTCACCCATCTTACTCTCGCCAATTCCAAGTTTACTTAAATGAGCAAGAAATCCATTGCCTTAAAGAGGCAGAAAGTTTCCCCTTTTGCTATGGCAGTTTCTCATCTACGCCTCCAAGGGAGACTACCCCGTATTTCTTATTCTCGTGTTTCTAAACATCCCCCCGACCTCTGGGTTACCCCTTCCATAGTCAATCCTGTCTCTAATTCTTTTGCTGCCCTGGACTCAGAAGTCCCTACCTCAACACCTCAGTCTGTTCTCACTTCTTCATGTTCTCCCTCACATATTTCGGTATCGACAAGACCTCGTACAACACCTCCTCCTCCTCATCACCCCTCTACTTCTCAGAAGTTCAAAAAATCCCCATTGCTCAAATCTTCTTTAACCCCTACTTCCCTTCTTCTACCTCAACATTTTACCTTTCCAGTCTCTGTACCTGGTTCTTCACCTCTCACTGGCTCTGTTACAAGTGTGGAGGTTCACCCTCCTCCTAGTACTGTACCTTCTTTCCCTGTCCCCTCCCAAGTTTCTTCCTCTTCTGCCCCCTCCCAGGTTTCTTCCTCTTCTGTCCCTTCCCAGGTTTCTTCCTCTTCTGTCCCCTCCCACACTTCTTCTCCAGTGCCCTCTGCCCTTTCGTCCATCCCCCCCTACTTTGGTACAGTCCTATTGTTGTCCCAATCTTTACTCACCCTCCTCCTTCCATCCCCAATATTGCCTCCCATACAACGTCTTTGCCTTCCAAAACACTTGAAGCTATCTCGGAATATACTGAAGAAACGAGACCATCAACAGACACTGATCCACCTCCTGATCCTCCTTTTCCTTCCCCTCCATCTGCACAACTCCTATCTTCGCAGCATCCCATTCCATCGTTGCTTGAACATTTTCCGCTGCCACCACATGTGGACTTTTCTAACCCTTCTAGTCCATATATACCTTTACCTACAGATTTCTTGTATCTTTCTCATTACCAATCAAGGCCTATTTACAGTGGAATATCCGTGGCCTCAGAGGTAATTGGGGTGAGCTTCAGATGTTGCTCTCCTGGTTTAACCTTGTTGGTGCTTGCTTACAGGAACCAAAATTACACTCCGCTGTTATCCATCCCATCTCAGGCTATGATTTATTGCATTCTTTGGGTCTTTTTTCTGATGAAACCTTTAATGAAAGTGCCCTTCTTATATGCACCAATATTCCGTACAGTCAACTATTTGTTCATATTTCACTGCTTTAAACTGCAGCCCATATCCACTTGAATAAGTGGGATAGATAATGCCCTTCTCGGGCATTATCTATCCCAGATGTTGCCTTTCTTGTTTCGTCCTTACCGCCACCACTTCTGTTACTTGGCGATTTTAATGCCCACCATTTCCTCTAGGGAAGGTCTCACTGTGACTCCCGTGGCATTCAGTTAGAGGCTTTTCTCGCTTCTCACCCCCTCCATGTTTTAAATACGGGTACTCCCACCCATTTTGATCCTTGTACTCATACTCTCTCTTGCATCGTTCTCTCGGTCTGCTCTTCCTCCACTGCACTAGACTTCACCTGGTCTGTCCTCCCAGACTTACATGACTGTGATCATTTTTCAATCATTCTTACTTCGCCTCCATATTCACCACTTCTTCGTAGCTCATGCTGGCAATTTGATTTAGCAAATTGGGACCTTTACTCGCAACTAACTGCTTTTAGTGAGGTTCCTTCTTCGTCCTCCATTGATGAGCTTTTACACCTCTTCTCGTCCTCAGTTTTAACCGCAGCTTCTCATTCTATACCCCAAACCTCGGGCAGGCATTCTCAGAAGTGTATGCCTTGGTGGTCTCCTGCCTGTGCTCAGGCAGTACATTTGAAACGCGCTGCTTGGATCAGGTACTGGTACAATAGAACCACAGAGAGACTTCTTGATTTTAAGCAGAAGTGTGTGGTTGCTCACCATGTCATCCATGACGCTAAACACACTTGCTGGCGAGATTATGTTTCCACCATCACCTCTGTTTCCTCTATGAGTGCAGTCTGGAAAAAAAGTAGAGAAACTGAGTGGTAAATACTCTCCCGACCCAGCTCCTGTTCTGCTGGTTGCCGGTGTTGATATAGCAAACCCTCTTGACATTGCCATTGAAATTGGTAATCATCTGGTCCATATTTCTCAGGGGCTCCATCTATGCCCCTCGTTTCTTTCCTCAAAATCTGCCAGAGAGTTAGCACCCTTAGACTTTTCTTCTCTCAAAGAAGAATCTTATAATGTGCCTTTTACACTTCTGGAACTGGAGGCAACACTCTCAGCTTGCCTATCATCGGCAGCTGGGGTTGACGGCATTCATATTCAGAAGTTACAACATTTACATCAGTCAACCCTTGCAGTCCTCTTACAACTCTTTGATCTTATTTGATCACAAGGAGTTCTTCCCCAGCTGTGGAAATCTGCCATTGTTCTCTCTTTCCGCAAACCGGGTACTACAGGACATGATGCCTTCCACTATCGTCCCATTGCTCTTACCAGTGCAGTTTGCAAGGTGATGGAACGTCTGGTAAATCGACGTTTAATGTGGTATTTAGAGACACACAACAGTCTCTCCACTAGTCAATGTGGCTTTCGTAAGAGCCGTTCTACCATTGACCCCTTACTACGCTTGGATACGTATGTTCGTAATGCATTTGCGAATAACCACTCAGTTATTGCCATATTTTTTGACCTTGAGAAGGCATATGATACAACTTGGAGGTATAATATTTTGGCCCAAGCCCACTCCTTAGGCTTCCGAGGCAATTTACCATCCTTCCTTAAGAACTTCTTAACTGACAGACATTTCTGTGTTCGGGTTAATAAATGCTCTCCCCGGACTTTGTCCAAACTGAAGGTGTCCCCCAAGGATGTGTTCTGAGCACAACACTTTTTCTCCTTGCTATAAATGATTTGACCTCTCTTCTTCCATCCAATATTTGGTCATCACTCATGTTGATGACCTCGCTATAGCTTGTGCAGGCCCTGACTCTTACCTCATTTCAGTTTCTCTCCAGCATGTGGTCAACCGTGCTTCCAATTGAGCCACCACGCATGGGTTTAAATTTTCTAGTACTAAAATTCACCAACTTACTTTCACTAGACGTTCTGTCATCTCTGATCATCCACTGTACCGCTACGGCTCATGTATCCCAGAACGTGATACAGTCAGGTTTCTAGGTCTTCTGTTTGACAGTAGGTTATCCTGGAAACCTCACATTACCTCTCTGAAGGCAACTTGTCACAGCCGGCTGAACCTTCTTAAAACCCTTGCTCATCTTTCATGGGGAGCTGATCGTCGAACTTTCCTTCGCCTACATTCAGTTCTAATTTTATTGAAACTCGATTATGGTGACCATATCTATTCGGCAGCCTCGCTTGCTACTCTCTCTAGCCTTAATCCCATCCATCACCAGGGATTATGTTTATGCCTTGATGATTTTCGCTCTTCACCTGTTGAGAGTCTCTATGCAGAAGCGAATGTTCCATCCTTGTCCGATCGCTATGATGCGCATTGCCTTCGTTATTATATTCGCTCTCATGATCTCCGCAATCCTTCCATATATAGAATAGTCCCTGATGTTAGTAGACATTCTTTATTTGTTCGTCGCCCGTTTACTCCGTCCCCTTTCTCTTTGCCTACATTCGCTCTTGTCTTCCCTTCAGTTACCACCTTTCTATGCTCATGTTGCATCTCACTTTTCCCTACCCTTTTGGGAAGTTCCAGCTGTTCGTGTCTGTTCTTTCTCACTCCCTTGCACGAAAGCCCAACTGCCTACAGTAGCTTCCCGCTCTCTTTTTCTTGACCACTTCCGCTCTCATTCTCATGCCATCGCAGTGTACACAGATGGTTCTAATTCTTCTGACGGTGTCAGATTCGCAGCAGTGTTTCCGGACAGTCGTGCGAGGGCATTTACTATCTTCGGCTAGCATTTTTGCTGCTGAATTGTATGTCATTCTTGCAGCACTTATCCGTATTGCATCTATGGCCTTGTCACCATTTGTGGTTGTTTCAGATTCCCTTAATGCTTTACAGGCTATGCGAATTTGATACACCTCACCCCCTAGTTCTCCGTATCCAACTTTGGTTACGCTGTATCTCTACCAAGCACAAAGATATTGTTTTTTGTTGGGTCCCTGGTCATGTTGACGTACAGGGCAATGAACAGGCAGACATTGCTGCGCGGTCAGCAGTACATGACCTCCCAGTTTCATATAGAGGTGTTCCATTCACAGACTATTTTGCTGTAATTGCTACCCACCTTCGCGCCCGTTGGCAACAACGTTGGTCTGATCTGCTCTATAACAAACTTCATTCTATTAAACCGTGGATAGGTTACTCGCCATCTTGTCATCAATGTCGAGGTTGGGAGACTACTCTCTCCCGTCTTCGCATCTGCCACACTCGTCTTACTCATGGGTATCTCGTGGACAGGCACCCTGTTCCTCTCTGTGAGAATTGTCAGGTTCCAGTACCTGTTAGTCACATTCTGTTGGACTGCCCACTCTATCAACGAGTAAGCAGAATTTACCTCCAACGCTGTCTCCGTTCTGCTGCTCTTCTTTACCTTCCGTTCTTGGTGATGGACCCTCCTTTAATCTGGACTCTCTCACTGACTTTTTGACAGCAACTGATTTACTCCACAAACACTGATGATGATACCTTTAGCACTTCCCTCAGCCATTTCTACCTCAATCTCTTGCTACCCTCTACCCCTGCACTATCCACTGCCCCGCTGTACTCCATAACCAACCAATCATCCTTCTCTCTCCTGCTACCCAATACCCTCACATCCTTCCTTGCCCTGTAGCGCTGTATAACCCTTGTGGTTTAGCGCTTCTTTTTTATTATAATAATAATAATAATGTAGAACAAAAACAGTTGCAAATAATAACTAAAGGAGGTTTTAGTCAGTACTGGAGGAGCAGCAAATGTTGATGTTCCAGTATGGACCAAAACGCCGTCTAGTTTTTACTTGTTGTATATGTGGGACAGTTGTATGTGTGGGACAGTAGTGTGGGACAATAGTATGTGTGGGTGTGAAGGTATAAAGGCCCTTTCAAACTCTCAGAGAGTATTTGAAGTGACTATTCCTCTTCATGAAAAGATAAAGTAAAAATTACAGCAAGAACAATAAACAATTTTGATATAAAAATTATAATTAAATAAAATTTAAAACAAACATAAAATGTTCCAAACTCAAGCAAATAACGAAAAATAAAAAATAAATTTTTGTGAAGCGAAATTAATCTATACAGCTGACAGATGGTAATCTAATGTGCCGATGGCTGTGGTAAGTAGCTCTCACGATTCACTGTGTGAATAATAAAGTTAAAACCTGGACAAGCAGTCACTCACATGACAGGCAGAAGACTTTTGAAAGAAATGGTGAAGACCAAGGTAAATTACGTTAAAGTACGTAAAACAAATCAGAACTGGTTAAATTAATTAAAAATCCAATACACAATATAAATAAATAAGAGTGAAACTCATTACTTACAGACTTGATGAGAAGAGAAAGCCAAGTAATGTCAACTCGTCAGGAGGGTCCCATGTTAACTCCCACCGGGCGGAGAAGAGGTAGAGGTGATGATACACACTCCTTCCTGAACAAACATTCAACTAATTATACTACCATCACCATTCATGCTTCCACTCTTATCTAACGAACTTTTCCGTCACAGTGGGGCAATTGTTTAAGTGGAGCAGTTAATAATAGGGGACAGTGTATATATGGGATAGTTGTCATAACTGCATCCAGGTTAAGTCAACATTCAATTTTCCTGACGCAGGTGAGAGAATTTACCTGAAGGACACGGAGACGGTGGTAGTGGGCGTGTGGGTGCGCCACGCCCACCCCTTCCTCAACGCCACACTCCACGCCCTCCTCGCTCACGGCATACACCCTCAGCACGTCCACTTCTACATCCACAACCAGGTTAGTTGTACACCCACGTGTACTCTCAGGTCACTACTACACCCACACCCAGGTCACTACTACAACACCCACACCCAGGTCACTACTACTCCCACACCAAGGTCACTACTACACTCACACCCAGGTCATTACTATACCAACACCAAGGTCACCACTGCACCCACACCCAGGTCACTACTACACCTACACCCAGGTCACTACTACACACACACCAAGGTCACTACTACAACCACACCCAGGTCACTACTACACTCACACCAAGGTCACCACTACACCAGGTCACTGCTACACCCACACCCAGGTCATTACACCCACACCCAGGTCAATACTACACCCACACCCAGGTCACTACTACACCCACACCCAGGTCACTACTACACCCACACCCAGGTCACTACTACACCCACACCCAGGTCACTACTACACCCACACCCAGGTCACTACTACACCCACACCAAAGTCACTACTACACCTAGGTCACTGCTACACCCACATCCAGAGTCATTACTACACCCACACCCAGGTCAATCTACATCCCACAACCAAGGTCACTACACCACCCATACCAAGGTCACTACTACACCCACACCCAGGTCACTACTACACCCACACCAAGGTCACTACTACACCCAGGTCACTGCTACACCCACACCAGGTCATTACTACTCCCAAACCCAGGTCAATACTACACCCACACCCAGGTCACCACTACACCCTCACCCAGGTCACCCTTACACATGCACCCATGTCACCGCTACACACACCCGGGTCACCGTTACGCACACCCAGTTCTCCGCTACACACACACCCAGGTCACCATACTCAACACAGTCACGTAACACACACACACTCACACACACACACACACACACACACACACACACACACACACACACACACACACACACACACACACACACACACACACACACACACACACACACACTGCTCTGCTCTGCTCATAAAAGGCCGATGGAGATTTGAGGAAATGGAAGGCATAGATGAGATTGGAGGAAGGGACTACTTAGTAGGTACACTTTAGTCTGGGGAACATAAGGTGGTCATTGCAGTGATGTATAATCCACCACAGAACTGCAGGAGGCCAAGAGAGGAATATGAAGAGAGCAACAGAGCAATGGTGGGCACACTGGCTGAGTTGACAAGAAGAACTCACTCGAGCAGAGCAAAGTTACTGTTTATGGGCGATTTCAACCACAGGGAGATCGACTGGGAAAACCTGGAACCACAAGGGGTCCCAAAACATGGAGAGCCAAGATGATGGATGTGGTACTGGAAAACCTTAAGCATCAACATGTTAAGGACGCTACCGGAGAGAGAGGGAAGGATGAACCAGCAAGACTGGACCTTGTGTTCACCCTAAGTGGTTCAGACATTGAGGACATCACATATGAGAGGCCTCTTGGAGCTAGTGATCACATGGTTCTGTGTTTTGAATACATAGTAGAACTACAAGTAGAGAGGGTAACAGGAGCTGGATGGGAAAAGCCAGCTAAAAAGGGGGACTACACAAATATGAGTAACTTCCTGCAGGAGGTTAAGTGGGACAGAGAATTGGCAGGAAAGTCAGTAAATGAAATGATGGAATACGTAGCAACAAAATGCAGGGAGGCAGAGGAAAGGTTTGTTCCCAAGGGCAATAGAAATAGTGAAAAGACCAAAGCGAGTCCTTGGTTTACCCGAAGGTGTAGGAAGGCAAAAACTAAATGCAACAGAGAATTGAAAAGATACAGGAGGCAAAGGATCCAGGAAAATAGAGAGACTAATCGAAGAGCCAGAAACGAGTATGCACAGATAAGGAGGGAGGCCCAGCGACAGTACGAAAACGACATAGTATCAAAAGCCAAGTCTGACCCAAAACTGCTGCATAGCCACATTAGGAGGAAGACAATAGTCAAAGACCAGGTGATCAGGCTGAGGAAAGAAGGTGGGGAACTCACCAGAAGCGATCAAGAGGTATGTGAGGAGCTCAACAAGATATTTAAGGAAGTATCTACAGTGGAGACAGGAAGCCCTCTGGGTGGACAGAACAGAGGAAGGAATATACCAACAAGAGTTAGATGACATGCACACGTCTGAGGAGGAGGTGAAGAAGCTGCTAAGGGACGTTGATACCTCAAAGACAATGGGACAGACATCTCCCCGTGGGTCCTTAGAGAAGGAGCAGAAATGCTGTGTGTGCCACTAACCACAATCTTCAATACATCCCTTGAAACTGGGCAACTACCTGAGGTATGGAAGACGACAATTGTATTACCCATATTAAAAAAAGGAGACAGAAAAGAGGCACTGAACTATAGACCAGTGTCACTGACGTGCATAGCATGCAAAGTAATGGAGAAGATTATCAGGAGGAAAGCGGTGGAGCACCTGGAACGGAACAAGAATATAAACGCCAACCAGCACGGATTCAAGGAAGGCAAATCCTGTGTCACAAACCTTCTGAAGTTTTATGATAAAGTAATCCTGACGCCAAATGACTTCGAACAGGCGATAAATGACATGCCCATGCACTCTGCCCCAGGGCCAGACTCATGGAACTCCGTGTTCATCAAGAACTGCCTTTACCATCCTATGGAGAGGGAGCATGGACACGGGGGTCGTCCCACAGTTACTAAAAACAACAGACATAGCCCCACTCCACAAAGGGGGCAGTAAACCAACAGCAAAGAACTACAGACCGATAGCACTAACATCCCATATCATAAAAATCTTTGAAAGAGTCCTAAGAAGCAAGATCACCACCCATCTAGAAACCCATCAGTTACAACAACCCAGGGCAACATGGGTTTAGAACAGGTCGCTCCTGTCTGTCTCAACTATTGGATCACTACGACAAGGTCCTAGATGCACTAGAAGACAAAAACAATGCAGATGTAATATATACAGACTTTGCAAAAGCCTTCGACAAGTGTGACCATGGCGTAATAGCGCACAAAATGCGTGCTAAAGGAATAACAGGAAAAGTCGGTCGATGGATCTATAATTTCCTCACTAACAGAAACACAGAGAGTAGTAGTCAACAGAGTAAAGTCCGAGGCAGGCACGGTGAAAAGCTCTGTTCCACCAGGCACAGTTCTCGCTCCCATCTTGTTCCTCATCCTCATATCCGACATAGACAAGGATGTCAGCCACAGCACCGTGTCTTCCTTTGCAGATGACACCCGAATCTGCATGACAGTGTCTTCCATTGCAGACACTGCAAGGCTCCAGGCGGACATCAACCAAATCTTTCAGTGGGCTGCAGAAAACAATATGAAATTCAACGATGAGAAATTTCAATTACTCAGATATGGTAAAACACGAGGAAATTAAATCTTCATCAGAGTACAAAACAAATTCTGGCACAAAATAGAGCAAAACACCAACGTCAAAGACCTGGGAGTGATCATGTCGGGAGGATCTCACCTTCAAGGACCATAACATTGTATCGATCGCATCTGCTAGAAAAATGACAGGATGGATAATGAGAACCTTCAAAACGAGGGGATGCCAAGCCCATGATGACACTCTTCAGGTCACTTGTTCTATCTAGGCTGGAATATTGCTGCACACTAACAGCACCTTTCAAAGGTAGGTGAAATTGCTGACCTAGAAAATGTACAGAGAACCTTCACGGCGCGCATAACGGAGATAAAACACCTCAATTACTGGGAGCGCTTGAGGTTCCTGAACCTGTATTCCCTGGAACGCAGGCGGGAGAGATACATGATTATATACACCTGAAAAATCCTAGAGGGACTAGTACCAAATTGCACACGAAAATCACTCACTACGAAAGCAAAAGACTTGGCAGACGATGCAACATCCCCCCAATGAAAAGCAGGGGTGTCACTAGCACGTTAAGAGACCATACAATAAGTGTCAGGGGCCCGAGACTGTTCAACTGCCTCCCAGCATACATAAGGGGGATTACCAACAGACCCCTGGCAGTCTTCAAGCTGGCACTGGACAAGCACCTAAAGTCGGTTCCTGATCAGCCGGGCTGTGGCTCGTACGTTGGTTTGCGTGCAGCCAGCAGTAACAGCCTGGTTGATCAGGCTCTGATCCACCAGGAGGCCTGGTCACAGACCGGGCCGCGGGGGCGTTGACCCCCGGAACTCTCTCCAGGTAAACTCCAGGTAAACAGAAGTAAGACACGAGAGGGAGGGGTGGGTTGCTTGCATCTTCTTGGACTGCAAGAAGGCCTTCAACACAGTTCCTCACAGGAGATTGGTGCAGAAGCTAGTGAATCAGGCATGTATAACAGGAAGGGCGCTGCAATGAATCAGAGAATACCTGACAGGGAGGCAACAACGAGTCATGGTATGTGATGAGGTATCACAGTGGGCACCTGTGACGAGCGGGGTCCCACACGGGTCAGTCCTAGGACCAGTGCTATTTCTGGTACATGTAAATGACATGATGGAAGGGTTAGACTGAGAAGTGTCCCTGTTCGCAAATGATGTGAACTTAATGAGGAGAATTAAATCAGATGAGGATCAGGTAGGACTTCAAAGAGACCTGGACAGGCTGGACACCAGGTCCAGCAACTGGCTTCTCGAATTTAACCCCGCCGAATGCAAAGTCATGAAGATCGGGGAAGAGCAAAAAAGACCGCATACGGAGTATAGGCTAGGTGGCCGAAGACTGCAAACCTCGCTCAAGGAGAAAGATCTTGGGGTGAGTATAACACCGAGCATGTCTCCGGAAACACACATCAACCAGATAACTGCTGCAACATATGGGCGCCTGGCAAATTTGAGAATAATGTTCCGATACCTAAGTAAGGAATCGTTCAAGACACTGTACACCGTGTACGTCAGGCCCATATTGGAGTATGCAGCACCTGTTTGGAACCCACACTTGATCAAGCATGTCAAGAAATTAGAGAAAGTGCAAAGGTTTGCAACAAGGTTAGTTCCAGAGCTAAGGGGAATGTCCTACGATGAAAGATTAAGGGAAATCGGCCTGACGACACTGGAGAACAGGAGGGTTAGGTGAGACATGATAACACACAAAATACTGCGTGGAATAGACAAGGTGGACGGAGACAGGATGTTCTAGAGAGGGGACACAGAAACAAGGGGTCACAATTGGAAGTTGAAGACCCAGATGAGTCAAAGGGATGATAGGAAGTATTTCTTCAGCCATAGGAAGTGGAATAGCCTAGCAAGTGAGGTAGCGGAGGCAGTAACCATACATAGCTTTAAGATGAGGTATGATAAAGCTCATGGAGCAGGGAGAGAGAGCACCTAGTAGCACTCAGTGAAGAGGCGGGGCCAGGAGCTGAGTCTCGACCCCTGCAACCACAATTAGGTGAGTACAATTAAGTGAGTACACACACACACAAACACACACACACACACACACACACACACACACACACACACACACACACACACACACACACACACACACACAGGATGTTCCAGAGATTGGACACAGTAACAAGGGGACACAGTTGGAAGTTGAAGACACAGATGAATCACAGGGATGTTAGGAAGTATTTCTTCAGCCACAGAGTAGTCAGTAAGTGGAATAGTTTGGGAAGCGATATAGTGGAGGCAGGATCCATACATAGCTTTAAGCAGAGGTATGATAAAGCTCACGGTTCAGGGAGAGTGACCTAGTAGCGATCAGTGAAGAGGCGAGGCCAGGAGCTCGGACTCGACCCCCGCAACCTCAACTAGGTGAGTACAACTAGGTGAGTACACACACACACACACACACACACAAACACACACACACACACTCAGGTCACCGTTACATGCACACACCCAGATCACCGCTACACACACACCTAGGTCACCACTTCACACATCCAGGTCACCGCTACACACACACCCAGATCACCGCTACACACACCCAGGTCACGCTACACGCACACACACACAGGTCACCGCTACACACACACACACACACACTCACACTCAGGTCACTGCTACACACACACACCCAGATCACTGCTACACACACACACCCAGATCACTGCTACACACACACACACACACACACACATACACACACACCCAGGTCACTGCTTCACACGCCCAGGTCACCACTACATACACCCAGGTCATCGGTTCCTCCACCACTCCTTACACTGAGTGACCCACACTGGCTATGGACCTAAGCTTCCACCTCCGTTGTTCAGTCAGTCTCAGAAATTGTGAAGATACGACTCTTCGTCTGCTATTTGCCTCCTGGCCTATGACAAGTCAGAGAATATACTCTGAGGAACACTTCTCTGGGAGTATGCATACCACCTGGGTCAGTAAGGCTGCGTGTGTTCCTGCCCACCACGAAATACGGAAATCTCTTAATGTATATTCAATGAATTATTATTATTATACATACCTCTCTTTGTATATAACCTTTTATGACAAATGTGAGAGAGAGATACAAAACAAGAATGGTTCACTATGAGGTGAGATTGTAATGGTGTTCCTGTGGCACAGGTGGAGGAGTACGGAGAGATAGTTGAAGGTTTCATGGCTGGTCTGCGCCCTAAGGTGAAGCAAGTGACGCTCTTTCAACCCCGAGACGTCACAAGCGAGGGGCAGGTCCGAAACTTGCTTCTGTAAGTACCTATTGCTATAACGAAAATTATTTTTTTTTTAATATTGTTGTTGGCTTCTGGCTTTTGTTAGGTATTCCTTGAAAGTTAATACCTATATTGATTGCATGAGTTTTCTTTCTCCAAGTTTCCGTGTGATAACGAGAATGCCTTGTACGATCGGCTACAAACTTTCAACGCTGATGTTACTTAAAAGCAATTTCGAAGAGCTACTAGGCTGGATAGGTGTAATTTTGTCAGTTTTGGTAATGAAACTGTCCTCCATGTGATAACTTGAAAATGGCTCTTTTGATCGACTCCAAACTTTCAAGATAATAAAATTATCAATTTATGACTGACGAGAATTTTTAAGTAATTTTGTTTAGATTTTCTGACATTGTTTCATAAACACCGTGAAATATACAGTTCAAATATACAGTTTTAATGCCGGTTGTATAGAGAAGAAACTTTAATTAAAACGAATTACTTAAAATAAAAAAAATCTATGTTTTTAAATTTTGTTTTGTCTAGTTATTTCATGTCTGATTTATCGAAAATTTTATATACAAATTTTATATATAAAACTCTACCGAAATACCATATTGCATGTTGGAGTTTTCTTGTGATATGTTTCTTGTGAATATTTCCTTTGACTGGTGTCAAACTTTCACCTGTAGTGTATCTTATATAAAAGATAGGTTGGGTTATTAATCCATTATATTGGTGTGTTTTTTGTAAGAAAAATTGCAGCCTTGACACCCAAGGCTGCAGCTTATAAGTCTCATGTGGGATAGACTGACTGATGTTATATTAGAAGAACATAACATCAGTATTCAGTAAAGACGTCTTAAGATTCAAATGCAATATTCAACCACACACGAGCTTGCAACAATCCTGCTGACTGGTTGGAAGCCAAAGTCATAGTTCCATATAAAAGAAATATTCTAAAAAGAAATATTCCAGAGTCGGTAATTATTAAACATGATAAATATTCGTTATATAATGGTAGTAGTGGGTTATTCAAGGTCGGATTCATTTATGAATGCTCTGGATTTTCTTGAGTGCCAGGGTTTCACTCCAAGGAAGTAAGGCCTGTTTTTTCCTGCTATGCTGGGTTCGACCAGCGTCTGCCCAAGAGTGTGGTGGGATACATAAACTATAGCTGTCTTTCCTTAGATGTCCCCTTTAGGTTTAAGTGAGTCTGCTTTAGACCCGTTTTCCTCTTTCCTTAATTGTGTGGAAACATCCTAAGACAAATGCCAGACACATCTACATTAAGAATGTAAAGTATTTTATAATGTCCCGAAGTCTGATCATTTTCATAATTGTCATGTTACCAGTGTTAATATTTCTATGTAGCTACTCCATTACCTTTGCTGGTGGGCTATTTTTTATTCCTCTAACACTCAATCTTTCTGGCACTAGGCACTCGTGTGCTTGGGCCACTTAACGTTTCCTGTCTCCCATTCTCGTTCTTAACAAAAGCATCCCTCTAAACGAATCTGCTGAGATCTCTTAATCATTTCTCCAATATTACAAGCTCCTGATGATGTGTTGATTGCAACACACCGTATATATGCCGTACATATATTATAATATTATATTATAATATTATATATATATATATATATATATATATTATATATATATATGTATATATATAAATATATATATAAATTATATATATAAATATATTATATATATTATATATATATATATAAATATATATATATATATATATATACATATATATATATATATATATATATAATATATATATATATATATATATATTAATATATATACATATATATATATATATATATATATATATATATATATATATATATGTATATTATATATTATATATGCAATAAGATCACAGTAAACAGGTGATTTCAAAATATGCAAAACAACCACTCTGAAAGAATAGAGAAATTCCAAGCGCTTTCGTGACTACTCACATTATCAAGGAACTATGAAAGTGTTAAAAACAACATAGACTTGGTTGATAAATTAAGCTCCTTGACTGACTTAAATGATTTTAACATGGTTAGTTTTGATGTTACTTCCTTGTTTACGAAAGTTCCTGTTGATGATTTATTAAGTTTCTTATCTGAAGAACTCGTTAACTATGATTTACCATTGCCAGTTCCTACTATCATTAAACTTATTAAACTTTGCATTGTTGATGCAAAATTTGTATTTAATGATAAGTTTTCACTCAGAAGTTTGGTATGGCAATGGGAAATCCTCTTTCACCTGTTCTTAGTAACCTATACATGGATTTTTTTGAAAACAGGTTGCTTAACACAATCCTCCCTAATAGAGCTAAATGGTTCAGATATGTTGATGATATTTTGTGTCTTATGCCCAAAAATGTAGATATACACCATTTTCTTGGAAAATTAAATAGCTTAGCCCATTCTATAAACTTTACTGTTGAGTTTGAAGAAAATAACTCATTGCCTTTTCTAGATGTTTTAATTATTAAGGGTAATAATGAATTCAAATTTAAAATTTACAGAAAACCTACAAATAACTGTTCTATGTCCACTATTATTCCTCGCATCAAGATAGAGTCAAACTGTCTGTTTTCTCATCAATGTTTTTGAGAGCTTTACGAATTTGTAGTCCTGAGTTCATAGATGAGGAAATATCCAAAATTTATGAAATAGGTAATGATTTAAAATACCCAAGAAATGTAATTGATAAATCTTTTAAAGTTGCTAGGAACACTTTTTATAATCCAAAAAAGGGCAACCAGCCTTATTCAACTAAAAATATGTTGGTTCTCCCTTACCATGAAAACTTGGTTGATATGCCTTCTCTTCTTAAGACTTTTAATATTAAAGTTGTATTCAAAAATCTTGATACAGTAAAAAAAACTTTTGATTAAGAATTCCCCCCAAAATGCTGATGGATCTGTCTATAAGATTCCTTGTAAAATTTGCGATAAAGTTTATTACGGTCAAACTGGTAAAAATCTCGAACTAAGATTAAAACAACATAAATATAGCATTAGAACTGGACAAGATTCCAATGCTCTATTTATTCATGTAAGAGATTTTAACCATCCAATTGATTTTCAAAAAGTTGAGAAAGTAGTATCAAGCAAGTCCATGGTCGACAGGAATATAATTGAATCTTGTTTCATAAAAAGCAGTTTTGACAATAATATGAATATTTCCTTTGGTTTATATAAATTAGATCCATTTATAATTAATAGAATTTGGGAAGAATTTAATAATACACTGGACAAATAAATAGCTTGGGGGTGAGTTTTGCAAAGGACCTATCCAAGTTGGCTCGCCGCGCGTCACGTGTTTAACCGTTGTGGGATGTGATAGTGAGGTGCTGGCCAGACCCCTTATATAGCTTCCTTGGATGCTTCACTTTCATAGTTCCTTGATAATGTGAGTAGTCACGAAAGCGCTTGGAATTTCTCTCTTCTTTCAGAGTGGTTTTTTTTGCATATATATATATATATATATATATATATATATATATGTCGTGCCGAATATGTAAAACTGGTCAATTAGCAAGAACTCATTTAAAATTAAGTCCTTTCTGAAATTTTCTCTTATACGTTTAAAGATATATTTTTTTCATTAATGTTAATGTAAAATTTTTAATTTTGCACCAAAAGAATCTTAGAAAACTTACCTAACCTTATTATAACAAGAGCAATTTATTTTAGCCTAACCCAACTAAATATATTTTAAATACGTTTACAATAATTTAGTACTAAACAAACACAATCAAATATATTTGTTTCGTTAGGTTCAGAATGATTTTGGCGAAATTATTGCATACACAAATTTTCGCTTGTCCTATATGGCAAGATAAGCGTTGCTATTTAAGCCAAGATCGCAAGTTCTGCCTATTCGGCACGACATATATATATATAATATATATATATATATATATATATATATATATATATATATATATATATATATATGCAATAAGATCACAGTAAACAGGTGATTTCAGAATATACAAAACAACCACTGTGAAAGAATAGAGAAATTTGGAATTTCTCTATTCTTTCACAGTGGTTGTTTTGCATATATATATATATATATATATAATATATATATATATATATATATATATTATATATATTATATATATATATATATATATATATGTAATGTATATGTCGTGCGAATAGGTAAAACTTGCGATTTTGGCTTAAATGGAAACGCTTTTCTTGCCGAATAAGGCAAGTGAAAATTTGTGTATGCAGTAATTTAGCAAAAATCATTCTGAACCTAACGAAAAAAAAATATATTTCATTGTGTTTGTTTATTATCAAATTATTGTAAACTTATCTAAAATATATTTAGTTGGATTAGGCTAAATTAAATTGCGCTTGTTATGATAAGGTTAGGTAAGTTTTCTAAGGTTCTTTTGGTACAACATTATTAATTTTTACACTAACATAAATTAAAAAAACATATCTTTTAAAGTATAAGAGAAAATTTTTGAAAGGACTTAACTTTAAATGAGTTTTTGTTAAATGACCAGTTTTACCTATTCGGCACGACATGTATACACATAATTTTGAAATGTTAGGATTTAGGGGTTACAGAAGAGGGAATACCTCCTTCTCGGACGGGTATCCTGAAATGCATCCCTTCATTTTTAGTTAATACTTCAACTGGATTCTTTATTTTGTATTAGCACAGCAATAATAAAACTATAATAAACCAACAGAGAGGAGTGTTTAAGACTCGGGTGTAAGTGGTACCTTCACGTGGACTCAACTGCCTATCTTAACCCAAATATACCGGCTGTGTTGCTCAGCCTTGAACACCCGGTGCTAGCACCCGCTCTCAGGTCAGCCTCTCCCACTTCTAACAATGTTTTTGTTTTTAAACTTTATTAAATAATAAGCAACATACATAAAGAGATCAGGGAGTAGTTAGTGACAGCTATGATATTTATGCATGTTGTGAGAACTTGCTCTGAATGCTGCTCATGGTTTAAGGGAGTCCATTATTGAATCAAGGGAGTCCACTAATGAATTTAGGATGTGCATTAATGAATTAAGGGTGTCCATGAAGATGGACCAGTGGGTGAGTTTGAGAGTATTGGTCATGTATATAACAGTAATGACACAGGTCTGAGGAATATATACAGCCCTACTGACCATCGTATAATCGATTTTGATTAATTATATAATTAATAATTTGCCCTGAAGAGGATTCTCGTATTCTGAAAAATTTAAGGCTGAGTTTAGTGGTAAAGATGACAAATAAAGCGAAGCTACTAATAATTTTGTTCACAAATGACAATCATTTGATTTCCTCAGAGCAAAGAATGGGGAGGAAGCGACGTTTTGGCGAGAACTGGAGAGTGAGAGCAGTCGTCCCGGCTACTCTTGGGACCACACCCACCTGATGAACGACCAGCTTGATGCAAGGTCTGTCTCATACTGACTCTTAACACACACACATGCACACAGTACTATGGTAGAAGGGAGCAGAGAGAGATTGTTTGGGAAGAGATGTCAGAATGGAAAAGAGTATTAAGCGGGGTTTCGCAAGGGTAGGTATTAGTACCAGTAATATGACAATACCAGATGGGACTGAGTCAAATGTTTCCCTATTTGTTGATGACGTAAAACTAACAAGAACATAAATAGACAAAACCAGGGAAGGTGCTTTACCAATCTACCCACACTGGACAATACTGTAGACAGCCTGTACTGTCTGCACAGACAGCCCATGCTGTCTGCCAGCTTAGTTCATATTTCGCGACACTAAAGGTGCTGCCCTCTGTAGCCAGGCCTCTCGGTGGGCACGCCAGCCTGCCTGCCCTTGCCACTGCCTCATTCACACAGCGGCCTAGCAGGAAGACACAAGGCCTACTTCTAGCTCTCTCTCTTGGACATGGCCCTCCCGGGTCATGGGCACAACACACAAGCCTGTGTACCCACCACGACTTTACAAATAAAGTAAGAAGCCTCCGAAGATGTATCATTAACCACCCGCTTTCAGCTCCACCAAATAATTAGCTATAAATGGTGGGAAGTGGTGGTCGCAGCAGTTGTTTGCCTGGAGAGAAGAAGGAAGGAATGAAGTCATCTTCACTTCATCACTCCATGCAAGACGCATCCGTCTCTCAACGAGTTATCCTGATGTCGTGTCTGCACGTTTCAGCATCCAGACACAGGTACAAGCAGGATCCAGCCAAAATTTGCCGAATTTCTTCGAGAATTGTAAGTGGCGTCCCACTGACCCCACGCTACAGCGTCCCACGCTGTTTCTCAAGTCACGTGTTCAGCGTCACTTGCATGTTGCTGTTGTTGTTCAGCTCAGCACAGCTGTTTCAGCAAGCCAGAGGTGAGTTTTGTGGTGATTTCTGCATCCAGTGTGAGTTTCTCCACGTGTATGTGGGAGAGGAGGAAGTGCCCATTCCTCACCTTGCCCATGCTCACCCTACTCACGCTCACCCGTCTACCATACACTCACCACTGCCCACTCCCTCTGCTGCGTTTTCTGCTGTTTTTCGTGTGATTCATTGCCAGAGCTGTGTATCCGAGTGCCCAAGGCCACTCGAAGCTACGTGGATCAGCATGCCACATAGATCATGATGCCATGTGGATCCCGACGCCACGTTGGGTGTGGGCGATGTCACGTGGATCTATGAGCCACGTGAGTTACCGAGCCAGATGTCCCAGGCCTCATGCTGTGGTCTGCTGCCCGCATCACATTGACATTGCCGACGATGCTGCCCGACTTTATGACGTCACGATGTCTGCCTGACGTCACCTCGAGACGTCTGCTGACATCACAATGCTGCTGACGTCACCTTGCAACATCACATGATGTCAAATCGAGTGTTTCTAGTAATTATTTCAGTATTGTCGAGAAATTTGAGAGAAGATATATGTTGTGCGTTAATTCCTCTCAGTCAGTGTTCTCACATGTTAGCGTACCGCATGTACCGCGGGTGTGTGTAAAGTTTCTGTGTGTCCACTGAGGTCTGAGCCAGACCTGAGTAGCACCACTGTGCTAAGTCACCCGATGTGACCAGTGCGTTTGACAGTTGTTATCAGTCAGCTCTGAGCCCCAAGCCCTTGTACAGAAAGCTTTTATGCTCGTCGCTCATAGATGTTCTGCAGAATCGTACCTGTTACGATTCCCATCGAGATTTGTTTCACTTCACCTCCAGACCTTCAGAGTGTAGTTATATGTAGAGAAACAAGTCTGGGGATGCTTAGACTAACCTCTGCTATAACTCCAACTGCCGAGAGAATGACACTCGTCAAGCCGCAGTTAGCCCTGTCGGCAGGTGCTGTGTCAGCCTCGTGTCACAAGCTTCAGTGAGCTCCTGCACAAAAAAGATGTCACTTTGACTGCTAGCTCGCTCACTGCAGTCTGGTATATGATGTTACGACTTCCAGATGTTTCGCCCAGACGTCTCTGCCACGACTCGCTCCACAACTCGCTCCACGTTCGCCGGCAGTGACAGCCCAGCTACAGTACCAGTCGAGAAGTGTCCTCCTGAGTCGCTTGCCAGAAGTCCTGCCCAGTTGCCGAGTTTTGTCGAAGCCTCACTCGAGGGCACCAGCATGTCGTGCCCCAGGTTGAGTGAAAACCTGCAGCGACTCCTACAATGACTGCTTCACCGTTCCAGAGGAGACCGTACCCTGTTACATCACAGCTCAGCCGCAGCGATGTCTCCCGTGTTGCAGTATCTGTCCAGACGCAGGAAGGCGTGCAGTGATGCCCTTCGACGCTCACTGCATAGACCACGATGTTTAGCACACCCCACATGTGTTTTTCTTCCCTCCCTGCAGGAACTTTTTTTTTCATGTCCATATGTATATATATATGTTTTTTTATTTTGTGTTCTGTGCCCTGTGCCTATGAGAGAGAGACCAAGTTTTTTACCACCAGTATTGTCGCGTCGGGACGACGTGAGGTAGGTGGCTGAGCGTATGTAGACAGCCTGTACTGTCTGCACAGACAGCCCATGCTGTCTGCCAGTTTAGTTCATATTTCGCGACACTAAGGTGCTGCCCTCTGTAGCCAGGCCTCTCGGTGGGCACGCCAGCCTGCCTGCCTGCCCTTGCTGCTGCCTCACTCACACAGCAGCCTAGCAGGAAGACACAAGGCCTACTCCTAGCTCTCTCTCGTGGGCATGGCCCTCCCGGACCATGGGCACAACACACAAGCCTGTGTACCCACAATGACTTTACAAATAAAGTAAGAAGCCTCCGAAGATATATAATTTACATCCCGATTTTCAGCTCTACCAGTTAAACCCGTTATAATACCTTGGAGTCCAGCTTGCACTAGACTTTGATCCAAGGCAGCCAGCTTTCAGGGAGAAGGCTTACAGCTTTTCATCTCATCCCCTGCATGCATCAGCCTTACTAGAGATATTAACAATGCAAGGAATTCGCAAGAGCAGGCGAAATATACACAAACACTGATCTCTGGCTGAAGGAGACTTGAACCTACGAACCTTGGAACAAGGTACGCAGTGCTTTACCAATCTACCTACACTGGACAATACCTTGGAGTCCAGCTTGCGCTAGACTTTGATCCAAGGCAGCCAGCTTTCAGGGAGAAGGCTTACAGCTTTTCATCTCATCCCCTGCATGCATCAGCCTTACTAGAGATATTAACAATGCAAGGAATTCGCAAGAGCAGTCGAAATATACAGAAACACTGATCTCTGGCTGAAGGAGACTCGAACCTACGAACCTTGGAACAAGGTACGCAGTGCTTTACCAATCTACCTACACTGGACAATACCTTGGAGTCCAGCTTGCGCTAGACTTTGATCCAAGGCAGCCAGCTTTCAGGGAGAAGGCTTACAGCTTTTCATCTCATCCCCTGCATGCATCAGCCTTACTAGAGATATTAACAATGCAAGGAATTCGCAAGAGCAGACGAAATATACAGAAACACTGATCTCTGGCTGAAGGAGACTCGAACCTACGAACCTTCAGCCAGAGATCAGTGTTTGTGTATATTTCGCCTGCTCTTGCAAATTCCTTGCATTGTTAATGTCTCTAGTAAGGCTGATGCATGCAGGGCATGAGATGAAAAGCTGTAAGCCTTCTCCCTGAAAGCTGGCTGCCTTGGATCAAAGTCTAGCGCAAGCTGGACTCCAAGATATTGTCCAGTGTGGGTAGATTGGTAAAGCACTGCGTACCTTGTTCCAAGGTTCATAGGTTCGAGTCTCCTTCAGCCAGAGATCAGTGTTTGTGTATATTTCGCCTGCTCTTGCGAATTCCTTGCATTGTTAATATCTCTAGTAAGGCTGATGCATGCAGGGGATGAGATGAAAAGCTGTAAGCCTTCTCCCTGAAAGCTGGCTGCCTTGGATGCAAGGCATGCAAGGTAGCCACACAATGTTATGTATAAAATTTTAAGAATAAAGGAATACAGTGTGTTAGAACAAAATTCTAAATATAACGAATAAGTGAGGAGACAGTTCAAAATTAAGTATTTTTATATCTGATAGGAAAAGGGAGTCGAGTATAATCTCTCATGCTTTTTGCAAGAGGTTATACCATCAGTGCTCAACAATACACAGTTTGTGCAGAAGCAGCAGAACACGAGATCAAGGTTAGAGAGAACATTCAAACTTCTTAGTGAAGATGAAGACTCTTTAAATTATTAACCCTTTAATAACATAACCTAAGAAAGTTAAGCAATGTTACTTATTTCCGTTGGGGATCTCTGCTCTCTACCCTGTTTTGAGACCCACATTAGTCGAATGGCTACTAGGAGTGTATCTACTCCTAGCTGAACACCGGCAGCAGGTGTAGGGAGACTTGACTCACGTCTCGTTTCACCATCTTTCAGACCCAGAGTTACTTTCATTATGAGTGAAACTACCACTGAGCTGCCAGACACATTGTTCTAGGAATATGTGTAAGAAGTATTAAATCATATTGCATAAAAACACTTGATGGGTCAACTACGACACTGGGAATTCACATGACGGAAGGGGGCGGTAGAAGCCTCGGTCAAAATTGTGTCTGACAGGTCAAGACGGCATACGAGTCGTTACTGTGATAAGTATCATTGGCCGTCGCCATGGCTAGGTTTCTTTATCCTAACCTTCTGGGCTGTGTTTAGAAACCTTACATTAGCTCATCACTTCGAGAGAGGGGGGGGGGATAATCCTGTTTGATCCGAAAAATAAATATAGCTCCAGTTACTTGAATCAAGAGCCTTTCACCAACAGCATCTACTGCGAGAATAAGTATGGCTCCATGGCATTGATCTTCTATCCAGCGCCATATATAACATCTCAATTTGTTGTCAAGCTACATTATTTCTGTATATTGCATAAGGGAAAGTTTTCAAGACTTGTAGGCAAAGTATCGTTGACAGCTTTTATCACACTTTCCTCTCTACCAGAGGCTTCTGGCATGCTTCTTGCATCCGATGGGTGTACGCAGTCCGTCGCGACGTGCTGGAGCGTCTCGTCTCACCTTACACCTACGACTCTCCCAAGACTCACTCGCAACCAGACCCTGACCTGGCCTTCTGCAGCGCCCTGAGGGAGGCTGGTGTGCCCATGGTGGTGACGACGGTTGTGCCCAACACCGGAGCTGTGATCAATAGTACCAACCATAACGTTAACACTCCCGATCTTCTTACATACGTGTCCAATCCTCTGTTGTGGAACCTGATGTATGTGAATCCTTCCTGGACTGACATCATGAAGGGAAATTTTTCCAAGATTACGAGGGTAAGTCACTATCATTTGTCAGTTGTGTGCAGTGCTTTGTAGTGAAAGGACGTAGCTTCTCTAGATTAATAAACCACTGTACGGGTGGGGATCGAACGCATGGCAAGTGAGTCGTGAAACTCCAGGCCAGTGCGTAAGTAATGATTCTCTAGATTTAAAATATATGTATATTAGATTATGCAAAAAAAAACACTGTGAAAGAATAGAGAAATTCCAAGCGCTTTCGTGACTACTCACATTATCAAGGAACAATCATTGTTACTTGATAATGTGAGTAGTAACGAAAGCGCTTGGAATTTCTCTATTCTTTCACAGTGGTTGTTTTGCATATTCTGAAATCACATGTTTACTGTGATCTTATTGTATATTAGATTATATCATAGAAAACAAAATGTTTTCCCACATTAGGGAACCATGGCAAGTCAGTGTCGTTGACTATAATGGTTCCTCCTCCTCTTGGCTTAATATTTTTCATTTTATGGTGCACCGTAACTTGGTGGCAAAAGCTCTCCCTTCACACGGTAAGGGTCCGGGTTCGATTCCCGGCGAAGGGGTGGAAACATTGGACGTGTTTCCTTACACCGGTTGTTTATGTTCACCCATCAGTAAAATGGGTACCTGGGTGTTAGTCGACTGGTGTGGGTCGCATCCTGGGACAAAACTGACCTAATTTAACCAAAATGCTCTGCATAACAAGGGGCTTTCTACATAGTAGTATGTCATTAATGTCAGCTAGAACTGTATATCTTGTACATGTACTTGTAGTACATAAAGATATTATTATTATTATTATTATTATTATTATTATTATTATTATTATTATTATATTATTATTATTATTATTATATATTATTAATTATTATTATATTATTATTATTATTATTATTATTATTATTATTATTATTATTATTATTATTATTATTATTATTTTTATTATTATTATTATTATTATTATTATTATTATTATATTATTATTATTATTTATTATTATTATTATTATTTATTATATTATTATTATTATTATTATTAATTTTTATTATTATTATTATTATTATTATTATTATTATTATTATTATTATTATTATTATATTATTATTATTATTATTATTATTATTATTATTATTATTATTATTATTATTATTATTTATTATTATTATTTATTATTATTATATTATTATTATTATTATTATTATTATTATTATTTATTATTATTATTATTATTATTTATTATTATTATTTTTATTATTATTATTATTTATTATTATTATTATTATTATTATATTATTATTATTATTATTATTATTATTATTATTATTATTATTATTATTATTATTATTATTATTATTATTATTATTATTATTATTATTATTATTTATTATTATTATTTTATTATTATTATTATTATTATTATTATTATTATTATTATTATTATTATTATTATTATATTATATATTATTATTATTATTATTATTTATTATTATTATTATCTCTATTTTATATTATTATTCCATTCTCTGGTTTCATTATGATAGGATAATTCCTCGTGCAGGAGGTTTTTTCTTTGTTGATCACATTCTTGGCTGTTCAGTTTTAGGATACATTAATCGTCAAGGAATCATCTTTGAATGGTCGTCAGAAAACATCAACATAATTTCCTGCTGTTTTGGACACATGACTACGCATTATTTAAAAATGTACTATCTGTTAATGGTACTAATATATCCAATCCTAAATAAATATCACACGACTCCTGGTTTCCAATAGATGGAAACGGAATGAAGGTTCTACCGTGCATTAGATGGAAATATGTTAATACTGTTGTATCTTCTATTTGATCACCAATACACACAATGGAATTCTTGTTGACTATTTTCTAACTCTGTGATCGATATTCATAATTATTCTGTTTCAGTCCTTTAGCTAAAACCAGCCTTCGTACATTTCTTCCCTTTATTCTATCATCTGGGATAGAAAAAACAAATCTTAATATGACATATCTGGAGTTTTGATCAAGATAATAGGACTGGAATAATCCCTCCCATCACTCCCTCAACTGGTAGTGACGGGAGGGATACATGCAAGGTCAACCTTCCATCCTCCGGCAAAAAAAAAAAAAAATATGCTTCCTTACACTCTGGCGTATTAGAGGGATCAAAATGAAAACGGAACTGTCTTGCAGTCCTCCGTGTATTACGTTCACTTGACCACCTCATTCAGTTGTATAAACTAGCGATTCATGGAAATTAAGAGTGGATGTTCTACATATTCATTAATGGATACATTTTAAACTCTTCATCCGAACAGATATTTAACATAAGGAAATTTCTCTTTTACTCTCAAGATACATATACATCTTGAGATTAGCATTTTCTTGTTCTCGCTACTCAGAATTTGAGTGGATAAAGAAAATATATCTATTTTATAAAGATATTTCAATACTAAACAAGTAACATTAATCAGTTTGCTCAAGGTAGAGAATTAAGCTTTAATGAGAACTAATTGTAGATTCTCAGCTTTGATTAAATAATTTCTTTCAACATTCACTAATGGGTTTGGAGTAATGTTTTCCTTGTGCTCTGACGAACATTTTCTATCCGTCAGTCAGGACCATTGAACCACACTTCGTTTCATACCAGTCTCTTCATTTTAATGCCCCTAGATAATATATTAGTGGGTTTCTCAGCTCCAGGGATGTGTAGATATGATATCTGAGATGTGAAAATTCCCAAGGCAGTTGCCGGATATATATTTAGTATGTAAAGTCATGTATATTTTATCCAGCGTCTGCCTCAGAATCTTTAGGGATAGAAACACAGTAGCTATCTTCCTTAGGATAAATTACAGATGTATCCCTTTAAATGGACCCTATTTTAGAGATGTGGAAATTCCAGTGACATCTGTATTTGGTATTTAAAGTAATTTATATCATATTGTAGACTGACCGAATTTTTTATAATTGTCTTGTTACATTCGTTAGGTTACTACCACAATATCAGTGCTTGTGGGGTGGCTATCTTCTAATACTTATCACCCTTTATATACAAAAAACTGTCACAAGTGCTATCACCAATCATTGCAACACTCATTAACAAATCCATAGAATCCTCCACCTTCCCTACAGTACTCAAAATAGCAAGGGTCACCCCGATCCACAAAGGAGGAGACCAAACAGAGTTGAATAACTATAGGCCAATATCCAACTTACACCCTCTCTCAAAAATCTTCGAAAAATTAATTCATAAACGAATCTACTCCTACCTTATCTCCCAAAACATACTCAACCCCTGCCAATTTGGATTCAGGCCTAATAAAAATACTAATGATGCTATTATACACATGCTAGAACATATATACACTGCAATAGAGAAAAAAGAAGTCCCACTGGGGATCTTCATTGACTTACGTAAAGCTTTTGATACAGTTGACCATGACTTGCTCCACGTAAAATTGTCGCACTATGATATAAGAGGGCACTCCCTCAACTACCTCAAGTCATACCTCAGCAACAGAAGCCAATATGTGTACGCAAATGGGGCAAACTCTTCTGCGCAACCAATTACAGTTGGTGTCCCACAGGGAAGTGTCTTTGGCCCTCTTCTCTTTCTCCTATACATAAATGACCTTCCAAATGCTTCGCAATTACTCAAACCCACACTATTTGCATATGACACTACATACGTCTTCTCTCACCCGAGCCCAGTCACGCTAGCCAATACTGTAAATACCGAATTACAGAAAATATCTACCTGGATGAGGACTAACAAACTTACACTAAACATTGACAAAACCTACTTCATTCAGTTTGGTAACAGAGCTACAGATGTCCCTCTTAACATAATGATAAACGGATCACCTATCACAAAGCTAACAGAGGGAAAATTTTTAGGAATCCACCTTGATAATAGACTCAAATTTCATACACATATACAACAAATTTCTAAGAAAATTTCCAAGACTGTAGGCATACTATCGAAGATACGGTGCTATGTTCCACAGTCAGCCCTCCTGGCCCTATATCACTCTCTTATTTACCCCTATCTCACCTATGGAATTTGTGCATGGGGCTCAACAACAATTAACCATCTCAGACCACTAATTACCCAACAAAAGGCTGCAGTTAGAATGATAACAAATTCTCACTACAGGCAGCACACTCCACCAATATTCAATACACTAAACCTACTCACCATACAAAACATCCATACTTATTACTGCACCTATTACATACATAGAACACTTAACTCTGATATTAACCCTCCCCTCAAACATCTCCTTGCCAACCTCAACAGAACACATGACCATAACACAAGACACAGATCACTCTTTGATGTTCCTCGTGTCCATCTCACACTATGCAAAAACTCAATGCACATAAAAGGCCCTAAAATCTGGAATTCATTACCTGTAAATATAAAAGAAACACTACCTGTTCATAAATTCAAGTCTCTTCTCAAAGATCACTTACTCACCCAAAACCAAATAAATACTGAATAACTGAACCTTATAAATTGTATATCTTAAATGTTTCTCACAATTATATCACATAAATGTTAAACCTAAAACCCAATCTAACTTTATTATTTTTTTAAATGCACTACGTAACAGAATACTCCATACGACTGAATGTACAGCAATGCATGCAACCATATGACCTGTCTTTGTAATACTCATTTGTGCTTTATAGTTCTGTTTACAATAATGTATTATCACTGATTTCATCATTGCTTAGTTAATTTTAAGCCAGCCCGTAATGCTATGCATAGTATAAGTGGCTTTGGCATGCTGCTCTTATCTGTATTTTTTTGTACCTCTGTATGTATGCTCAAATTGTTAATAAACTATCTCATAAATGTATCTCATAAATGTAAATGTATAACTATAATATTCAGTCTTCCTGGCTATGGCTATTTGTATGCCTGGGGGCACTTACTTCCTCTCTGTCTCATTCCAGCAAATACGCTTCCTCTGATCGTATTTGCTTGGACCTCCTCCTCTGTTCT